ACCATTGGGCCACGTATAGACACCTTGACCCGTTTTGTTATCATCGATCCAATCACCTGTATACTTGTTCCCATTGGCATAGTATTTTGTACCTTTTCCATTGAACTTATCATCCTTGAATTGCCCCATGAGTTGTTCATAGATTGTATCAACTATCATTTCTTATATATTATTCATCAGAATAAATCAACAAAAGATATTTGTGAATACTCATTCTCATATCGATCACCATTGAGCCACGTATAGACACCTTGACCCGTTTTGTTATCATCGACCCAATCACCTGTATACTTGTTCCCACTGGCATTGTAATGCGTGCCTTTTCCATTGAAATTATTATCCTTGAATTGCCCCATGAGTTGTTCATAGATTGTATCAACTATCCTTTCTTATACATCAACCGTCACAATAGATCAGGAGAAGATATTTATGAATATTCAGTCTCATATTGATCGCCATTGGACCACGTAAAAACACCGTGACCTGCTTTTTGGCCATCGATCCAATCACCTGTATACTTATGTCCGCTGGCATAGTGATACGTTCCTTTTCCGTGTTTTTTCTCGTTCTTCCATTCTCCTTAGTGTTTGTGCTCTTATTATATGAAGGTTTTTACAAGTTTGCATGAAACACCGAATAGCGAAACTTGCCATCATATCATATGCGAACTGTAGCATCGTATTTGTTTCCATTTCCATCAGTCCAGGTTTTAAATATCAAAGATTTGTCGCTTGGCAATGTTTCTTGATTGTCTAGTAAGCAACAATAAACATCTACTTAGCTCATTACAAAAAACTACTCACTCGCCGAAAGCTTCGGTGCAGTAGTGACACTCATATTCCCCAAGGATGATGCTAATTCTGGATCACTTTCATCCATCAATTCCTGCAAGTGTATCACATTCAATGACGTATGATCTAGTGCGTCACTAACAACACGAAGTCGAGTACCCAAAGGAAGAAGAACTTCATTTTCTTCTGTAAAATTACTATATGCTGATATAGCTTTTCCATTCTTCGCTTCGATCATGAACAATGTTGATACAGATCCGAGAAATTGCTTGACAACTTTTACCGCAGATGAACATGAACTAAAGCACCACCAGGTAAATATATCATTTTCTTTGTAGTTTTTAGTAACGTCATGATTGATACCACGCCATAAATTGATTTGAAAACTTGGTAGCTTTGCCAATGCAGTGTCAAGTATTTTGAGATACCCATACCATGGTACTAATATTGATCGATCTTTCTCACGAAGCACTGCGTTGAGTACTCGATAGAGACTTTGTTCACCCCAATCCATTGTGTATAGGTAAATTGATGCTGATTCTTCACGACTGAGTCCATGTTCTGAAGGAAAATGGCATTCAGTCTTTGCAATTTTAATAAATTTTTCTAATTGGTTTGTTTGAGAGATAATAGGATCAAGAGCTTGTCGAAGTGGAAGTAGCGGATGAGTATGATATCCATAGACAGGCGGAAGCCTTGTTGGCCTATGATCGACGTTAGTGAATCGAAGCATTATTATAGAATATGTAGAGCTTCTTTGTTGAACTTGATGATGTTGTATTCACTTATGATAACGATACAATGTTTAGATAGTGATGCTTTGAACCTTTCACACTTTTTTCTCGTGTTTACGTCGAATTACTGTACACCTGTATATGAAACCGATGAAAACAACATCCTGTTCATTTGTTTTGTTCTTCTTTTAGGTTGAAATAAATTTCGCAGATAAGATAAAAGAGGTATTACTGTAAAAACGAAGGTCATTTGTTGACATTGTTCTGCGTCGACATATACCACTTGCACAAGAAAAAGAAGAATGAGATAAGGAGAAAGAACGAAGCAAAAGTAACGTGGAGAATACTTTAATATAGAGTAAAATTCGAAATTTATTAGGTGCCTTATGACCATTTAAAAAAAAGCCGGCGTTCATTTTAAATCCATAATTTTTTTGTATTGATGACAGAGTTGGATATTTGGAGGTCGTGTTTCAGGTGACAAGGTGAAGTCATTGAATTAAATAGTTTTATAAGGCGCTAAGAATGTGAAATATTACAATAATTGGAATTGAAAATGTGAATGACTAAGTTGACCAAATCATGCCTCACATTTTGTTCTTAATTTCGCCATTCAATGTGATCGTTTCGTTTGAATTCTAAGACGAAGTTTTGATTACAAGTGTTTAGTAATATGTTATAACTACGCTGCATCACTTTTAATTTTTGTATGCAATTAAGTTTCATGTCTTTTAAAACAAGTTTTTGATCTTTCTATGCGTAATGATTCATTATCGTCTTGATTCTTGTCTTCAAAAACATGCTGTAGCTTAATGTGTTGAAGATGAATAAAATTCAGCTCAGTAACTTCTCTCAGAACATGGGTTGGTTAGTAAAAATTCAACTAACAACATTATTATTAAATATTCGAGTTTTTTTCCACGTACAATATATTAAGGTTGCTTTCTCTAGCACATATATACATTAACAGGTCATTTCTCATGATGGAGCAAAGGAAAACAAGAGAAAAAAAATCTTCCAAATTGTCGAGAAGGCAGTACAAGCATCACGAATTATTTTGTATGGTGATGAAGAAATACAATCAACCTGACGTTTCGTAAGTTGGAAGGAAATAACGTGTATAGTTGTATTAATGTATTCGGAGTGGTAGAAATTCTTTTTTCTATTGTATAAAGTGCTTCTTTCAAGTGCCACTCATCCACTTTCAATACAGAGCGAAGCATTTTATGACTGACTGATTAGAATTTTTTTGCAAGTCATAGTTGTATTGTTCGATCGATATACACGATGATAAAGAAAAGAATGAATGTATATGGTTTTATTACGACTCGTTTATTGAAAGAACAAGTAGATTACATCAGAATGAATTGCAAAATAAAAAAAACATCAGAAATTCTCCAATTGTATGTAGACATACTTGTCATAAATATATTCTCCGAAATCAAAACTTTCACATTAATCAAAAAATTCTACCAGTAGGAAAGTTTCAACAATATTATAGAAACAAAAATTGTATCATTATATACATTAAAGAGTATTAACGTTTCTTTTCTTAGTGCTCTCTCACCTGAATATTTTCTTTTATCAGAAACATTGATTGATAACTATGTTCACATTAATGATACATAGTTAACTTATGCAAAAAATATCATTGATCACAATATCGAGAGTTCAGATATTACAAACATCTGCGAATGCATCTCATTTATGCTTTCACTGTTGACTAAATAACACGTACTGTTTCTAAATACATCGATGATATTTGTCTCTACTATTCTTACTGAAAAAATATTTTCCATTGTTTCAATCAAATCGAACAGAGAATAATGTTCACATGCGCAGTATTTCATTTACCCACAAACCAATATTGATTCGAAAAATTCTTGCAATAAGGAAAGGCTGTTCGGTGGTCGTAATTACAACATGAAATAGATGAATAAAACAGTTTACTCATCTGAAAATAACACAAATATATTACAATCATAGTCATAACATACATTGTATTTAAAAAAAAAGTGAGAAAAGCCGAGATCCCTCGAAATGCATGTCAAGTAATTCACTGTACTCATCTCAACTTAATCGCGTATATCACAGTAGTTGTGTATGTCGTATATATAAGTCAAAAACAAAAACAACTGTTAATTCATGTTAACTTTGTGGACTACAGTTAACGACAGTTATTGCTTTCATTAGAGGGATAGGTATCAATCTAATAAATGCACATATATAGAAATTCAGTACAAATTACATTCGACTCTAGGTTTTTATCTACTTATGAAATTTTTAGTTGAAATCGAAATAATGTTAAGATTTCTATATGAATGAATAAAAAACATTGGTAACTAGAATCGAATTAATAGTTAAGAGGAATTTTTTTCTTTTTTCTTTTGACGAATCAATATTTTGATCGTTTTCTTATATATTGAATGACGTAACATATCTCATATTGTTTTTCTATGCGAAATACTATGTGCCATATACCACATTAAATGTGAAAACATTAAAAAGTCTCCAATGATCTGGTATAAATGGAAGAACTACATACATACAAACTCGACCTTTAGTAAATGTAGAAGTATGGTTATATAATGTCAAAGCAAATCGACGTTATTTCGATCCTATTTTTTTCTATTGCATATTTCACAAACTATATTGAACTTTTCAATATTACCAAAGGTGGCATCATATAGAATATTTTCCTTAATAGTATAAAAGATGAAAGAAAAACTAACGAGGACAACATTATGATAATATGAGAAGCAATTTATGGCCAACAGTTCCACCGGTTTGTCATGGTTCTATAGGTTACGAAAAATATTGAAACGCTGTTTGATGCGTTTACGTGAAAAGTTAAAAGAGAATTGGTTTCACGAGAGAAAAATTAGTGTACGGTTTTTTAAAAAGGTTTCTAGAATCGACCTTATTATTGTTGCTTTTGTTTGAATGCTGCTTTGATTTGCGATGCAATGAATGTAAAATAAACAGCTACTATTGATAATACTATGGTGAAACAGTGTCTTTGTGTAAGATTACCTAATTCTATCAAATAATGGCTAATTACACATATAAGAATAATTACAATTGTCGCCATATCAATATCAATTTGTAAAACAAGAAGAAAAGCGAGAATTCATTTCAGAACAAGTTAAGTTCACCCATAGCATGCTTATTAAGCTTGTTGCATATCTGTTATTTGAAAAATATAACGAATAATAGAAATATTGATGAAAACTATAGTAAATAAAGATTATGCTCTACATACATACTAGAGTTAAGTAATGTATTAAATAGTGTTAAATGAAGTAGCTAATTTCTTTAAATAATAACTGTAGCAACGAGCAATCGATGCAATTAAAGGACTTTTTGTTTACACCAAGCTACTCAAAGCTAGGCTTTAGCAAACGTATTTATTTCGAGCTACCTCTTCTTCTATCTCTAGATTCGATTACATCTGCAAACTGTTGCTGAAGATCGCTAGACGTTTTCCTATCATGTCTATCTTGTTTTGTAATCCGATCAATGTCTAGAGATTGCTAACGACCACTAAACTCACGATGATCGCACTTGTCACTTTGTTCGCATGCAAATTGGAATTGTAGACACTATTTTTTTTCATTTATTGATTATTGTATATTTCTCACAACAGTAATTCATTATTTTCGTTTACTTCTTACATACTTTGCTCATTGTAAGAAGAGCGATTCAAGATGCGTAGATACATGCATCTTACTTGACAAAGGAATGGTAATAAGATTATTTAATAAAATTATCATTTGACCATATTCCTTTCTGAACTTTACCATTGGCATAGTAAAACATGCCTTTTCCGTTCCTCTTCCCATCATTGTATTGTCCCACGAATGGTTCATAGATTCTATTTACTATACTTTCCTATACATTGATCATTACAATTGCTAAGGAGAAAACATTTCTGAATAGTCCCTCTCGTATCGATCGCCATTAGGCCATGTAAAGACACCTTGCCCTGGTCTTTTGTCATTGACCCGATCACCTATGTACTTCCTTCCATCAGCATAGCAAAATGTACCTTTGCCGTTCATTCTGCCATCCTTGTATGGTCCCATGAGTCATTCATACCTTCTCTCAACTATCCTTTCTTATACATCGATCATTACCATACATTAGAAAAAGACATTTGTGAATAATTCTTCTCGTATCGATCGCCATTGGGCCATGTGAAAAGGCCTTGCCCTGCTTTCTTGTCATCAACCCAACCACCTGTATATTTGTTTCCATCGGCATAGTAAAACGTGCCTTTTCCGTCCATTTTGCCATCTTTGAATTGTCCCAAGCGTTGTTCACAGATTATATCAACTATTCTTTCCTATAGATCGACCATCACAATAAACCAAGAGAAGATAATTGTAAACACTCCTTCTCGTATCGATTGCCATCAGGCTGCGTATAAACGCCTTGTCCTGCTCTCTTATTATCGACCCAATCACTTGTATATTTTTGACCATCGGCATAATAAAGCGAGCCTCTGCCGTTTATTTTGCTACTCTTGAATTGTCCCACCAATTGTTCATACATTGTATCAACTATTCTTTCCATAGATCAATGATCACAATAGATCAGAAGAAGACATTGGTGAATAGTCCTTCTCGTATCGGACACCATTAGGCCATGTAAAAACTCCTTCCCCTGCTTTCTTGTCATTGACCCAATAACCTGTATACTTATTTCCATTGGCGTAGTAGTGTGTACCTTTTCCATGTTTTTTTCCATTCTTCTTTTCTCCTTAGTTGTTGTTCTCTTATGATGTGAAACACTTGACAACCATTTTTTAACGGCGAATTTTATCACTGGTTGGCGTATTATATACGAATTGTGTTTTGATATCTGTGTGCATCTTCAGAGTTCATCATTGGTAAACTCAAGACTTTGTTAGTTGGCGATATTACTCTGTAGTCTAGAAGGAAGCAGTCATTTATATAGGTAGGCTATTAAAAAGAGTTACTCACCCACATGAGGTTCC